ACACAAATTACTCCAAATTTAAAATACAAAACATTCAACCAAAACAATGCACAAAGTGTGATCCTAGCAATAATTCGTTTCTAAGTTCCGTTGAATCGAAAGCTAAACAAATATCTAATCATTATCACACAAAACAAGCAATCTCATCATCAAACATTGATCATCTCTCATAATTATAACTCATCGATCCATTCGACTCAAGCACATTTTTTTTTTAAGAAAACAATAAATAAACGAGAAAAAAAAAAATCCTAAGGCATGCAAACTAAAAAATTAAAGCACATAAAAACAAGTAATTTTCCAACCCCAAACTTAAAATTTTTATTGCCCTCAATGCAATTAGAACAAAGTTCAAGGATAGAATACACCTGAGTAGTCGGAAGGTCCTTCTCCGGGATGCACTCTTTGCTGTTCGTTTAATCCACATTTAACGTCCAATCCCTTAGTGTTTGACTTTCGACCTAAAAATTAAAACAAGATTAAATTATTAGTTTGCGCATGCTAAAATCCTAAGAAAAATAAAAATAAATAAAAATACGAAAATCGATAAATGCTTGGGTTGCCTCCCGAGAAGCGCTAAGTTTTAAGTCTTCAGCCAGACTCTGCTTCTTAAAACTGTTATGTCCAATCCAAAGCCTTGTAGATTGCGCATCCATCCATGAGCTCTATCACTTCAATTGCAACCAAGGCATGGATAGCATTGCAATATATCAGGATCCACCTTAGCTTGTAGTCTTTCTTGGTTGTAATCAATCGGTACGAAGCTAAGATGGGATCTTCATCACCCGCTCCCTCAAATCGGTACACAAAAACCTCACGTCCGCGTATAACCTCCACTTCAAACACATTCGTCTTCTCATCAACCTCTATTGATGCCTTCAAATCTACATTTAGATCAACGACAGGGTCCACAACTAGAATATCTTCAATCATTACATCCATCTCCTTCTTCTCTTGTTTTGAGACATCTTCGTGGTTTAGCTCGATTGCCTTCTCAGATTCATCATGCTCAAGTGTCTTCGTAATTTCTATTTCTCTCATATCGACACTATTTTCTGGACATGGAAGATTTTTCTCACCGCATGCTTCACCCGAATTTTCTTTGATATAACCATTACCGATTTCGTCTGGAATATTTTCAAGAGATTCAGATTTTAATTTGAGCGTCATCTCTTCCAGTTGTATCTCCATGTTTTGAAATGATGCTTGAGTGGACTTCATGAATTCGGCAATGAGGGATACCAAATCAACTTGTTCATCAGTGGTCTGCTGCTGCTGCATTGGATAATAATTTTGAAAATCATCAAATTGTGGCTCTCTATGTTGAAACTCGTTCAAATCTTGATCTTGAAAGCTTTGCTCGTATAAGTTGTGGGTGTAAGTGTTCCGATAACCTCCGTTGGTAATTTCGTCGAAATTCGTCGCTGTTGGTGATACCCAACATTGATCGGAATAATGATTTCCACCAAATGCTGAACAAAA